ATTTGAATAATTCTGACTTATTTTCCTTAAATATGTTTAAAAGTGTAAGTAAAACGCTATTGGAACAAACTAGCTACCACACTGCCATTTACATTAGTCAGTTGTTTCCTGTAAACCTCTTCTTTCACTTTTAGAATTAATGCTTCAATTGAAGACAAAATTATTTGATTGATCAATATTGGTGATCGTGATTGGTGTGAATATGTTTATTGTAATAGCAAGAGCTTTGTCATTATGGGAACGTTATCACATTGAGCACTTTATGACACGTTGCAAATGATTTTATTATTTGAAGCTTTCCAAGTAAATATTAAATTGTTGATAAGAATGTAATGTGTACCTGTATTTTTTCCCTCAGATGTTTGAACAGTGATGACAAGACAGAAGGAAAATGATTCAACTCTCCAAATCAACACTCAAGAATTGTATTATATACACTATATACATGTACAATTAACAGACAAAACGCCTGATGTGGAAATTGAATTCACAATTCAATTAGTAACAAAGATACCCATGACATTCTTTCATCAATACATTTTCCAGATCCTCTAAGTTCGCAGAGCCATCCATCTTTAATTGTGCTTTGTGAATGTCAACTGTGCAATAATGGAAGTGTTCAATATCTGTGGTCATAGTGACTCTAACAACACAAGGTAAATGCAACCACAGCCAAGCTTTCATTTGAAGACAATTGAGATTTGAGAACCATCTGATCAGAATGTAGATTCCTCACTGGATATACACTGCTGTATCAAGAGGTTGATTCTCTTCACAAGTCTGCTGAGATAAGTCCATCCAGGCTTGACTTCATTAATGACTGTTTGAACATCTTGCTCTCTAAGAAGGAAAAGCCAGCAATTTTTTATTTGAATAAGGATAACTCAAGCAGAACTTAAGTAGACATCCTCTGCCTTGGAAAATATCAAGGTAAAAATTGAAATAATAGTAGGACCTTCAAAAGGTAGTCAATTCAGAGGGTGGACTTACTTGAGGATGCCAATCTTGTGCTTGAAGTTGGCTGACATGGAACTGAATGGGTAGCCACCAGGAAAGAATTTAAATGTCACCAAGAACCTGACCATTGCATCCAGGTTGGAAAACTCAATGGTTGCACTGAAAATCAAATGTACAATATAATTGGTCAAGACAGGACAATGCATCAATGTGATCTTTCTTGGCCCATGATGGTTGTGTTTATGGAGACATAAATTATCATTTATTATTTAAGAAAAATGAAGTGAAATGCAAGGGTTTTAAATCTGGATAAGCCTGATGTTCTGACTAATAAGCTACCAAAAAAAGGGTTACCAGGAGTAGGTGATGACTCAAAACTTCTAATGAAACACTGTCACTCCAAGTGCATGTAAAACTACCAACCAAAATTGTTCATCTACTCTATCAATTCAAAAAAGCATGAAGTGTTTCTCGTTATAAGCTTCCCTATTGCCAAGCAGATTTTTATCGCGCTCTAATACAATGACTATTTTCTGATAAACTAATATAGAACTGTCAGATAAATGACCAACTGCCAATAGAGTGAGCCAGAAAGCCCCATCCACTGTACGCTGTGCCACATTGCTTTCCCTTAACTTCCATCTTACATGTGCACACTAATTGGCTGAACACTAAGTGGTGGGGCTTGATGGATTGCTCCACTATCAGGGCACTAGATGTCTACTTGAAGGATAAAGATGATTTTGAAGAATATCAATCTGACTTACTTGGTTCCATTCACAGTAACTACATGTCTGTATCTGATGTGATCTATTTCCTCAGCGATGCTGTCAGCTTGGCTGACTACCTCAGACAAGTCTTGGAGTAACTGTGATAAAAAAGATAAAAAGACAGACCGTTAAAATGTTAGCAGTATCACATCAAAATGTTGTTTGAAGCAATTGTCAGAGCAGAGAATATGCTTTCCATTTACTGAGGACATAGCAAAGTCAACTCCTGATAATTAAACTTAACTATTTTTATTTTATTTTTACGGAGGGGATCCTCCTTACTTTCAGCCCATAGGCTTTAAATACGTGGGATGCTGCTATAACATGATCAAACTGAATATATATTAAGGTGCCTCAGACAGCCGCCAGATGACCCTTATTTGACCAGCACAGCCAAAGATTGCTTGTGTTGATTTTTGTTTGGTGAATGAAAGAAAACAAAACAACCCAGAGATAACCCCCATAACACAGAAGTAAACTAAAAACTCACAGGAATCAAACCCTAGTCACAGTGGTGAGAGAAGAGCACAAGCCATTCATGCTAACCTTACCCTACCATATCATGATGTGACATCTGACCCAAATATTGGTTTCCTAGCAAGGTTGTAGTTGGTATAGCTCTGAAATTCAATCAACCTACTTAAAAATCCTTCTCTCCCAAAAACAACAAAAATTATTTATCTGTTTGAATTGATACAAGGTCTCTTGCTGAAACCTACAACTTCTATTACAATTCACCTTCCTTTACACACTACTGACTCTAGAAATTTATGCCATGTAACTTGGACAAAAATCTACTCATGGATACCATCTTTAAGGAGGCTGTAGTGGGATGACGTGAATGTAGAAAATCCACATCTATGCTGGCTTGGATGAGGTGATGTGCCAGGTGGGCCGAGACTTCAGCATCATCTGAAAATTGAAACAGCAATCCACAAATATGAAAAGAAAAGAATTTCTTTGATATTAAAAGCGAGGCATTATGATTTGCAAAGTAAAGGAGCAACTGCCATCCTACACTGACTGATCCATTGTTCCCATCAATCTTCACAGTGAATGACAGCAGAGAAATGATTGAGTAAATTGCATGGTTTAAAATGTGATACTTTACCAGCAAGAAGGCTCTCCATATGAAGACTAGTAATCTCTTTCTCCTGTACCCCACTTCCTTTCTCTGTTAACAGGTGTAAACACATAAAATGATAAACATTTTTGGAAGTGGATGGGATTTCAAGCTATTCATGGTGACAGACAACTGAGATGGAAAGCTTGCGGTAAACACCATGCAATATCTAGATATTGCATGGTGTTTACCGCAATCTTTCCATCTTAATTTTTGAAGTGCTGAACAGGCGTTGAGGGAGGTAAACATTTATCTACATGAAGTATAAATCAATGTGTTCATTAATTCAAAAACCATCAGCATTGCTATCCAATAAACTGATCACACACCATGTTGGAATGCTAAACAATGAGTCATGTGAGTATAGTGAGTGGCACAGTGACAACATTCTCTCACTAACCCGAACATTTGTTATTTCCAATGAGAAAGTAAAGCAATCCCACAAGGTGGCAAACTTCATATAAGCCAGTGAAATATACAGCAAAACAAGCCAAGTGGTGAGATCTGGTCTCTGGGCTGCTTCAGGTGTTTTTGCGCTTACCGATTTCCTTTCCTAGTTTGACAGTGAAGATGAAGGAATCTTCTAAGAAGGTAAAGACTAATTCCTCCTCGGTATCCTTACGCCATCTCCATTGTTGCAAGCTGAGTAACACCAGAAAAGGTCAAGCAATTCTACATGTATGTCTTAAACATCATTACAATTACAAAGGCCTAGATTCTATCTTTCACAACTCCACAGCGAAAACTGGCTAGGGAGTTAAATGAGGTTGTTGCAGTGGAATTTGCCAGTCAGCCCTCTGACTGGACAGACAAATACAGGCGTGCAACTAAAAGTCAGAAAAAAAGGACATTCAAACTGCACGTACAAAAGACTTTCAAAAACATTTTTCAAAAATTTGCAACGGCATACGTAGGAAGCAACCAGGCAGGAAATCAAGTTATGTAAGTCAAATCTGCATGTCTTACAAGATGATAGAATTGGGAAGAGGGATCCTGAACATTCTCAGGCGAACTAGAGTCAGATAAAATCTAGAAACTAATGAATAAAGTCAGCATTTTACTAGGATGGAAAGTGAGACAAGATTGATTCTATTAATTTTCTTTCAAGAATTATAATAATGCATAACAGCAATTATAGAATGGACTCTATTGTATCTTTTTCTGTAGAGTGTTTAAGATTACTCATGTATACATGTATTTCAGAGGTTGCCAGTGTGTCCTTTCTTTCACGTGCAGCCTTGTAAAAACTCCTGCCAATGAACACATACATGTACATACAAAGGGCTTTGCTGTAGTCAGTGATGCATCTGTCTTGTGACAACCAGAAACTTACCAGTGAATGTCCTCCAATTTCATCAATGCCTCCTCCAGAGCATCATTAGATGTAGTCTTGTTGCTAAGCAACATCTCCATCTCTCTTGCATCAGCCAGCTCCTCTTTGTACTGTTTGATTTCCTCCTTTAGTCTCAAGGATTCACTAAATCAAAAGGCAGAGGACGAGGCATTGAATTAATTAAGATCCTTTTTCTTAACTTTGCTAGCAAGATGATACTAGCACTACAAATGAAAAAAGATGCCACTAGGACAAATTTCCTTTTGACTGCATGCCAAAAGGCCTTATGATATTAAGAATGTCCATCTCTCATTCTTGTGTACTTGTCAAATGTACAGCTTTGTATCAAACTACCATCATCCTATGTGTACCTCTGCAAAGCTACTTTACTCGTCTTCATTTCTTCAACTTCCTCCTGCTTCTCTGCTAGTTGCTGTCGTTGGTTGATGAACTCCTCAACACGCTCCTGGCTGGGTGGTTCAATTCTCTGAAGTCGTGTTACAGTGTCATCTAAACCTTCCTTGACTGTTGAAACAATTAACAACAAATATCAAAAGAGGCATGATATCGGAGAACCTAAATGATCCTTGACTAATCTCTAGATTTATTTCTAAAAATTAAGATTAAAAACAAAGCAACATATGCTGTGAGTTGACAAGTCACTACTGGACTGGAAAAGGTGAAGGAGGATCAGAGATCCTGGAAAAGGGGTTGAAGTTTGAAGTCTGTGCTCTAAATCTAAACTACTTCAAGTACCAGGTGGATGTGATAAAACACAAACTCCATTATTCCTAACCCTTAAAGATTCTTCCAACTCCAGCGCAAGGTTTGGGAAAACTTTGATGAGTTTAATTGAAGGAGGATCAGAGATCCTGGAAAAGGGGTTGAAGTTTGAAGTCTGTGCTCTAAATCTAAACTACTTCAAGTACCAGGTGGATGTGATAAAACACAAACTCCATTATTCCTAACCCTTAAAGATTCTTCCAACTCCAGCGCAAGGTTTGGGAAAACTTTGAAGAGTTTAATTTTAAAGAGTGAGGAGAGGCAGAGCAGTCACCATTACTTTCCCTGGTATTAGATACCCTCAGATGCTTTGGGAGAATCATGGATGATTCCAAGAAAAACCTGCTTTTCTTTTAGGGTAACATGCGGGGGAACTGAAAGGTAAAATAAAAATAATGTTGAGTTAGAAGTAAGTATTTGATAACGCTGTCCGATGCTGAAACACGAGTTGGTTACATTTTTCAAGCTCTTCCATGTTCTTGATCAGTGTGTCCAGTGAAGATGATAGACTTGATAAGATTTCATTCATCTCAGCTTCAGTTTTCTGTGGACAAAATGTGAAAATAAACAGAGTCAACGAAACGTCACTGTTTTCATGAGGAGACAAATTTGACCAAAAATCTTCACTTTTTCAAATTTATAGGATTTTTGGTATCTAATGCCGCCAACTTAGTGGAATCGTTTTGACCTAATCTACTGAAACAGGCTAAATCAGCCTCCACGGGCAAAATTCACTCAACACTCATTTTATATTTTCAAAAAAGGAACAAATGCGTGCTCAACAGAGATAACATTAAGTAATGGAGCGCAAAACCCATTTTGTGGTTTTCACAAAGAGACATTGTCTGCCCTGAGTTGAAGTGCACCCTCACTGGCCAAAGAAAAAGACTGGTACAAAGTTTTCCAACTGGGTTCTTGCACGTTCGGCATGCACACAAAGACCATACGTTCCAGAAAAATTTGCTGCACATACTCAGTGTGCCCCACGTCAAACGCGCATAAACTTGCACGCGTATGCAGTGAGTTAGTTCCAAAGGACTGCCAATTTCATTTAAAACATGCCCTCTTTTGTTTCCACTTGGAACGGATGTAAAAATGCAACGAGTCTGTATCAGCCTGCACCATGGCAACAGCACTTGTGTTGCTGAAACCGTTTCCCTAATTTTTGAGTTTTCATAACAGAGAAAAATTTTAAGGGAATGGATAATCCGTACCTACAGCTAAATTATGGATTTGACAGGGTAATTTCTCACATTTTATGGCAGTTTAGATGTATGCCTTTGCACACTGAAATAGTGAAATTAATCAACTTGTGAAGTTAATCTCTACTACTTCTCTGTTGTAAAAGGGACCAATTTCAAATGTGATTTTCTTAAAAGTTTACTTGACGCTGCATAATCAGATTTGCCTTTGTGAAACTGATAAACTGAATCCCAAAGAAATGGACGAGGTACACATACATGTCAATCAGTTTCTGATTCAATAATTTTTGATCATTTTCTGCAGTAAAAAAGAAAATCCAGAGGCAAAATCTGAATCTCCAACTAGTACATTTGAATATCTGTTTGGAAAAAAGGTAAAATACTCATGATCAAAATGTGAAAATATTACAGCAGACAAACTTCCTAATTCTTGGAAATCTTTTATTTTAGTATTTCAATTTATTTAGTATTTCACAGTTGGTGTAACAAGAATGTTAATCATACATGTATGAGCAAATGTTAACATTTGGCAAAGTTCTAATAATGACAGACCTTTAATGATTGATGTGTCTTATTCACCATCTTCTGTCTCCATTCTTGAAAGCTTGCTTTAGACATCTTGGTACAAGCTTTGTATAAAGACTCAATATGATCCTGAAGATGTGCAGCCTGACAAGAAGAAATATGCAGTCAAACAATACCTGTCAACTCCTTGCAATATGTATTAAAGGCCTTTGTTTGATGGTTTTTTTGGTTCCATTGTAACCAATAAGGTAACAGCTTGCCACAAGCAAACAGAAAACCTATTTTTAACATTTATTATTTATACCCTGCTGATAAGAATAAGTATCACGGAGGAACATTTTTATATCTTGGTTAAGTATAAAACATATTCAAGCTTGATAGGATAACATGTTTTTGAAAAATGGAGAATATCTACAAGGATGGCCCCATGACCAGTCTCGCACAATTAAATACGGCCCTTCCATAAGTCAGCCCACATATCGGAAACGTAAGGCATTTTTTGAAAACCAACAACATACACGTACCCAGAGTTAAATTACCCAGCAAACTAGCTACACTGTACATGTACCCTCAACAAACAAAAACAACCATTTCAACCATCCACCCACTGACTACTCCAACTTTCACCAATCAAGTGTGTATTTGTTCCAAGTACATTGTACCTGCTCTGGTGGTGCACACTCTACCTCAGTCACAATGTCAGGGTTATTTTCTGACATACGTTGTTCCTGTTCATTCACTGCTCCCTGCATCCTGAGAAATTGCCACAAAGATGAAGATAAATTATAAATTGATTGCTAGGCAGGAGAACTGTCTTGTACAGTTGATGTAACAATATCTGTTAAGTGAAGCAACACAACTGCCTTGAGGCAAAACACAAATATGCTGTGTACTGTCCTCGGTATGTAATGTCGCCATCGGCAGTAAAAAGTGGAAACCTGACTATTATTGTCATGTGCAAGCTTGTGGCATTCCTCTATGGTTTAATGGAGAGGTGCCCATTGCAATCAATATATGCCAGCACTGACAAGGCACGCAACGTTTCCTTGATTCTTGTAAGAAGGCCAAACACCATGTCAGAATCATCAGCTGCGGCTAGCGATGTATGCCTCTATTGGAAATGGCTACATCCCTAGCCAGTGACTTCAATAGGCATACATGTTTTCTACAGTCATAGCCAAGTCCTTCAGAAAAAGCCACATAGCATGGTTTACAGTTCCTCAACAAAACTCCATAGGCAGGACATGACACTTAGCCTTTATATTGTAGTAACTTTGGTTCTAGCAATTCCAACCTCCCAATGAGTATATAAGGACAGGTATTTTGCACAAGGGTACAAATAGCTAAAAGCAAATTATTTTCTTCAATAATGCCTCAAACTTAAGGATTGTCCATCAATCACTGTCCAATTATTAGACCATAGCACTGCACAGAGTAGTGTTTGTAAATTGTGCTTGTTGTGGTTGGACTTACTTTTCAATGGACATTGACAGGTGATTGACAGCCCATTCATACAAATCCTTCTTGGGCTTTGTGATGAAGTGATCTTCCATGAAATCGCTCAGGGTCTTGGGAGATGCAGTCTGTAGCAAGAAGTGAAGAGGTAGGAATTACTGGGCTGAGTACATGGGAAAAGGAATATGACTTTTACTAGAAATATCACTATTAACTAGGGGAGGGCAACTTCTCTAGCACATCCAACCTGCTGAATGTTACCAACAATGGCTTTCTACATGAAGTATCTGAGCTAATGGCTGGACATGACAACAGAAGTACTACTGGTAGGTTTTTAAAGCAAAGAGTATGTTTCTGGCAGAAATTCAAAGACATTACCAAGTCTCATACCACTGTTGGAGAAGCATCCATTGCATATTCTTGTTATATCTGATCGACAACACTCTATGATATGATCTGCTTCTTATCTGATGTACATGTAAGACATACAGGTTGAAAGGCTGAAAGATGTCTTCATACTTGCGGTAAGAAGGGTATAACGCTACGGCGACCCTTGGACATGCTAGTGGTCAAGAACTGAAGGAATTTACACATAGACACTGGCCCAGGTGTTGGCTTAGTCTGTTGGGAAAAATATATATTAAATCTGT